ATAGCTAGCTCTTCCCAGGGGACTTGTTTCCTGAGCTCTTTCTCTAGTGTTTTTGGTTAATTTCATCAACGGTAAAAAATAAAAGTACTGCCCTTTAAAGATGTGCAGATCTGAATGCTCCTGGCAGAGGATGGATAAACCACATGATTTGGCAATCATACCTTTTGATCCTGAGATACTATGAATCACACACTCCTAAGAGCTGACAGGTCATCTCAGAGCTCATCTAGTCTAACCCATCCCTGAAAAAGGGGAGCCTGTCTGACCGTCTGAAGAACCCCAGGGAGCAGGATCCTCTAGGTCCCAGAGCAGCCTCATCCTTGGACAGCTCCTTCCACTGAGCTGCCGATAGCATGACTCCCTGATACTTGGATCTATTGCTGCTCCTAGGCCTGCACTGTGAGGTCAAGGCAAAGTCTAACCTCCCTTCCCCATGACAGTCCTTCAGATGTATATGGACTCCCAGATCTAGAGTTGGAAGGAAGGTCAGATGGCACCTAATCCAACCCCCTTCTTTTTCAGTCAGGAACTGTCAATATCCTTCTTCAAATATGACTTTGAGAACTGGATACCATATTCTACATGGAGTCCCACCAGGGCAGGATGCAACAAAATGATCTTTTTCTGTGAAATAAGAATTGGCTACTCCATTCCATGCATTTCTATAGCCACATTTATTCCTTCTTTCAATAAGTCTGCCTGCTATGGTGCAAGGCACTGCTTTAGCTACTATTACAGGGGCATGTGTGTGTGTGTGTGTGTGTGTGTGTGTGTTGGTGCAAAAAAAAAAGTATAGCACATGACCACTATCTTTTGTCCCTTCCCTCAAGAAGCTTACCAGCTGGTCAGAGACAACACAGCTAAAATTAACTGACAATTTAAGACAAAATTCCAAAAGCTGTTTTTAAGACATTACATCACAAATTATCAAATAAATTTTGAAGACAGAGGAGGGAAAGATCTCTGTGGTCTAAAACACATGAAGGATGGGTAATTGGGGGAATGGGTAGATGGAGGAAGGGGAGGCATTCCAGTGCCATCTGAAAGCCTACTTCCAGGGCTGGTTAGTCTAAAGATGTGACTAATTCCCCAAACTACCTTCCTCATCTTATGAGGTGTCAGCTTGTGTAAATTCATTCGGCATTTAAATAGTTTTTGCATATCCAGGGATATCCAGCCATTTTTCCCAAGGCAGTGACATCTCCTGCCGTAGGCAGAGCATTAAAGAGATCCAGAAAGAAGAGGGAGGAATGAAGAGGAGGGAAAACAGAGGGGGTTGGGTCACGTTGGCAGGGAATGAAGAAAAATGGCTGTCACTTTAGGGAAATCATTTAAAATGCATTCTAAGGAAACGTCTTTAGTAAAATCAACTGGTATTTACATATGTTTGCCTGATTCAGGCAAAGATGTCATTTTCAATAATCTGAAGACAGTGAGTGGTCTGCCAGGGATTTCTGATAGCCTTCCCTTCTGCTTCCACAATTCCCATTTCTTCTCTATCAGCCTGATAAGGGAGATCTGGGTTAGTTAGAGGGAAGGGGTGAGAAACAATTGAGAAAAAAGGGAAAAAAGTGGGAGCTCTTAAAGTTATTTTAACTTGAAGATTGCTTAAGAATGGATTGTCCAATATGTAACAGCAATACTTTAAGTGAGGTGGATTAATGAAAAAGTAGTTCACATTAACTGTATCTAATCTAATAATTATGTCATAAATGTAAAGATTCTGTAATGGAGGTTACTGTGATGAAGTCAGAGGGTTTTGGTTTGCTTCCTGGCTCTGCTTCTTACTACCTGTGTGACCTTAGGCAAATTACTACTCTCTTGGCCTCAATATCCTCCATCTGTTAAGTGAGAGGGTTGAATGCGAAAATCTCAAAGGTTCCTTCAAGCTCAAAGTCTAAAATCCTGAGGTGGTGGGTATTGGTTTGCTTTTTTTCTTTTTTAAGTCAAATCCATGATTTCATCCTCACCTCTTGGTGAACAACTTCTTAATGCTGATCTCCACCTCTGCAATTTATGGTCTTAGAGATATGACCCAGACACTTAGGGCTTAATTGGTGTTGCTCAGGGTCATACAACCAGCATGTAGAATAGGCAGAAATTGATCCCAAGACTTCTTGACTTTGAGACCAACTCTTTCCACTATGCCCCATGCCTTTCTAATCCTGAAATATTCTACTATTTAAAAAAATTGGCCAAGAATCACATAGGCTGTAATTGAATTAGAACTCAAGTCAAAAAGGTTTTGCTTTCTATCTGAATACATCACTGAATTTGAGACAGTCCCTTCCACCAGAGGGAGGAGAGGATACCCATGGAAACAGCTAAAATGACAGATGATGCTATAAGTGAAGCCTCTGAACACTAAAAAAATCATACTAGCCAGTGTGTGCATCCTTATCTGGTTTACTTCAGATTGGTGTATTCCTGGTATATTCCGAGTGCCTAAGGTTTACTTACCTTAAATCGGTACATTTGCAAACAGCCCCTAACTCCTTTTGTTTACTTCCAATTACAGAACAATAGCTCCAGATGCTCAAGAGACATTCAAGTTAGTCTGCAGTCTAGCAGAAGTAGCCAGCTCTTGTTTGGACCTCATGTTTTCTGTAGCACATCCCCAAGTAGGGACAAAAGGGACCCAAAATAGCTATATCACAGCCTGGCTTTTATGCCCTTGATGTACCCTTTGTTTTTAAATCAATAAAAATTTTTAACTAAGTAAATTCCCTGTATGAGGTATACCTCTCTTAAATTGCAAGGTAGCATTTTATAATTAAAAGGCATCCCAGGGACTATCTAATGTCTCCCCCAGCCATTTTAATGAAAAAATTGAGACCCAGAATCTCAGTGTAACTTTCCCAAGGTCGTATACCTAATAAGTTGGAATTAGGACTAGAATTTGGGTCTCTGAGGCAGTGAAATATAGTGTAGTGGAAGGGAAGAAATGTGGAATGTCAAAGAAGAGAGGAAAAAAGAGGGGAGAGAAGAGAGGGGAGCAGAAAAAAGAGAGAGATAGAGAGAGATGGGGAGAAGGACAGAGAGAGACAGAGAGGGAGGAAGAGAAGAAGAAGAAGAAGAAGAAGAAGAAGAAGAAGAAGAAGGAGGAGGAGGAGGAGGAGGAGGAGGAGGAGGAGGAGGGGGAGGAGGGGGAGAGAGAGAGAGAGGGAGAGAGAGAGAGAGAGAATTTATTAAAAGAGTACTGTGCACCAGGCACTATATTAAGTGCTGGGGATACAAATAATTTTTTTAAGTAGTGCCTACCCACAAGGCACTATTATGTTCTAACTAGGGAATACCACACATTAAATAGAGCAGGAAGGGGAAGAGGCTGCTGGAGAGGGAGTAGAAAAGTCAGGAGAATGCAGAATGGAGAGTAGAGTAAAGCGATGGTCTGGGCACCTCAAGAAATGGTGGTCCAGGTCAAGCCCTTACCAGTCCCAAGGAGGCCTGCAGGTGTCATTAGTCAGGAAACCTGGGTCCTTATTCTGTCTCGTCACTATCTGGTTACATGACTTTGGAGACATTATTTCAGGTTCCTGGGCTTCCATTTCTTTATCTGAAAAATAAAGGTTCCATCTGTCTATCTATCCACTTATCCAATAAACATAAGTGTTGCCATGTGTGTTCAAAACTTTTGGTTGTCCTGATTAAGATGGATAAGTCTTGTGACTGTTACAAGTTTACAACAAATCACTGTCAGGTTCCAAACCTAAGTCAGTTGGCAGTAAACAAGGTGATTGATAGATGTGTGGAGAGTGTCTCCAAGTACTCTGCTTGACGTAGGAGATACAAAGAAAATGGAACAGTCCCTGGCCTCAAGGAGCTTATATTCTACTGGGTAGGGGAGATGGGTTAGGAATAACATGAACTTGGAGAAGTAAATAGAAACTATGTATGACATGAATACCAAATGACTTCTCATGGGGAAGGCACTAGTTATGGGAAGGGGGGAGTTTGTGTCAGCATGAAGATTCAGGAATGTCATGGCCCTTGAAGTGAATCTTACAGGAAACTATGAATCATATCCTTTAATTATAACTCCTAAGTCACTGTTCTTTTTCCTACTCTTCTTAAGGTCAAAAGAGCCCTTTTAAAAGGCTAGCATTAGGGACATGAAATAATGGTCACTTTACAGGCTAACCACATTATATAAAAATGATAATAATATCCACAACATCTCTAGGCAGTAGCATTCTTATATCCACTTTGCGGATGAGGAAATTGATGCAGACTGAGGTTAAGTGAAATGCCTAAGGTCACTCAGTTTCTGAGGTATGATTTGAACTCAGGTCTTCCTAAATCCAGGTCTGGGTCTACCCACTGCATCACCTAGCTGCCTCTAAATCAGGATTTTGTTGTTGCTGTTGTTTGTCTTTCATTCTCGAAGAGGACCATGACATCAGGGAAGGGATGCCATGACATGCAAGTGAATTGAATTTAAGTGAGGAAGGGCTGGGCAAAGTCACCAACAGCAAAGTCACCGGAGAAGAAAGTGAGGCGGCAGATCACAGTATAGAAGAAAGTAAACTAGCTGACTTTGTGTCATTTGCTACCTACGTGACCTTGAACAAGTTGGGGCCTCAGTTTCCTCATTTGCAAAATAAAGAGGTTGGACCGGATGATCTCCAAGGTCCTTACCAGATCTGTCATCCAATACTCCTGGGATCTGATCACAGCAGGGCACACCAGGAAGTGGAGGTAGTAGGGAAGCAGGCCAGTCAATGTTGACAGATAGGAAACATTTTAGTTGGCAATTAAATTTTGGAAACTGTCTCTAAGACTTTGACGGGAAGTTGACAGTTCCAGTTGCTTTGTATTCTCAGTATAATTCATGAATATGAACCAGAGGCTGAATTCTCAAGTATGTGACTGTCTCTGCGACGCTTTGAAAAGCCTCGTTCATTTCCTCTGGCCCACTGGACATCTGGTTTCTTTTTTCATACTTTTGACGTTCAGGGAAAATGACAAACAGTGGGCACAACAAACTATGCGAGTGTCTTTATTGTTGTTTTCTTGCTTTTCTAACAATTGTCTTCCCATAGGAGAAATAGGTGAGTGCTTTCATCCATGAGGCTAATGGAAATTTACAGCACACAGATCATTTCCTTTATCTAACCTCAGGAAGATTAAAAAGTAACAAAACTTGCTTAGCTCACCCTCTTTAAGTCAATGTTGGAGTAAACATCTAGGCCAGGGCCTAGACTTTCACCTCATATTGGGAGTATTTAGTACTTCTGGAACCATGTACCCTCTAGTTGGGTTCAAATCTAGGGACAGTCAGCTGGAGGCCTGCAAATGACTGATGAGGACCTTCACAGGTGGCAGATGTTTTCATTCGCTTGTCTTCTCTCTCTGAACAGTTTATTTCCAAGCAGTTTTCAAAATACTAAACAGAAAGAAACCAGATTTTTTTTCCATCAACTCTCCCCACCCTTGTCAACAATTTTTTTTCAATTCCTTTTCCTCCACTCTCACCAAGAAAGCTTGTGAATCCAAAAGAAAAAATAAAAACAATGGAAGATCCCAAATCTGCACTCCTTGAAACCAAGCAATAGGTTAAATTAGGATTTGTGCAGATTTTCAATATATACTTTAGCAAGAAAGCAAGAAAAGGAGTCACTAACCTTGAGACATAGGCACCACCATACTTCTCTCAAGCAAAACAACTCCATAAGATTCAGTAATAAATTGAACTGGATGAGTCTGAATTCCATCACCTTATTGACTGTCTGAACTTGTGCCCCTTTTCTTTTTGAGGAGTCCACCTTGATTAAGGACTTACTGAACAAGGAAAAGTCAGACAGCTACTAACTACCACTGGCTTGGAATCCATTGCAGATTTGTAAATAAGCCACAACATTCACTCTTCTGCAACCAGAACCATCAAAAGGTTTGAGTGTCTAGGAATCAGTGCAAAAGAACAAACTTTAATTTTAAAGTGACAACTACATAGGTACTGTGTGTAAGTGTATAAGTGACAACTATATAGGTATTGTGTATAAGTTTATAAGTACTTTGCTAGACTATTGGGATCCACTGCTGATACTACAAAGGGCGATGTAGAAGAATTTTTTAAAATCTGGTTTTATTTTATTTTCAGTTCTGAATTTTCTCACTCCTAAATCATTCTCCCCACTGCCACATTGAGAAAGCAAGAAAAATAAAGCCCTTGATAAAAATACATACTCAAGCAAAACAAATTCTTGTGTTAATCATGTCATACACACATACATGCATGCCTAAATGTGTGTATATATGTATACATGCAGATTGAGGCATATATATTCTGAGTGTATATATATATATAATATATATATAAAGAGAGAGTATATATATACACACACACACACACATATACTTATACATGTATGTGTGTGTATACACACACACATACATATACTCTGAGTCTATCACCTCTCTATCTGGAGACAAGTAGCATGTTTCATCATCAGTCCTCTGGAAGTATGATTAGTCTTTCTGTTATCAGAATTCCTAAGTCTTTCAAAGTTGTTTGTTTTTGCAATACTGTTATTGTACAAATTCTTCTCCTGGTTCTTTTTCACTTCATTTTGGATCAGTTCATACAAGTCTTCTCAGGTTTCTCTTTCATCATCCTCTTCATCATTCCTTATATTATAATAATATTCCATTACATTCATCATATCATATTACATTCATATTCCATAACTTGTTCAGTCATTCTCCTACTGATGGGAGTTCAGCTACCTCCATCAATTCTTTGCCACCATGAAAAGAGCTTCTATAAATATTTTTGTACATCTAGGTCTTTTTCCTCTTTCTTTCATCTCTTTGAATTATAGACCTAATGGTAGTATTGTTAACTCAGAGGTTATGCATATTTTAATAGCTTTTTAGCATAGTTCCAAATTGCTTTCCAGAATGAAATAATTCACAGCTCCACCAATAGTACATCAAGGTACCTGTTTTCCCACAGGCCCTCCAGCATTTGTCATTTTTCTTCTTTGTCAATTTTGCTAATCTGATGGAGGTGAGGTAGTAGCTGAGTTATTTAAATTTGCATTTTTTAATATAAGTGATTGAGAACATTTAAAAATATGGTTATTGATATCTTTAATTTCTTCCTCTGAAAACTGTGTATTCACGTCCATTGATCATTTATCAGTTGGGGTGTGGAAGAATTTGATAATCCAGCCAGTGCTTAAAGCAATAAGTTCTTTTGTTTTTCACATTTAAAGGGAAACCACATGATTTAACTAAGGACACCTAAGGGATAATTGTGGGAGACACAGGAGAAACAAGAAAGAACATTAGGACATAATTTATACCCCTGCCTCAAACTGGGCCAGTAGCTTCCACCTTCAAGGCTAGAGCAGCATCCCAAGGACCAGCACCTCTAAAGCAGGACAGGGATGTATAGGGAAAGGCGGGGTAGAAGCAGGGATATATTGTTAGAGAGTTTCTGGCAGAATGGTTTCAGGCCGTGGCAGGAGAAAAGACTCTGTAATTGCCTTTCAAGAGGCTGCTCCCGGAACTCAGCCCACGTAAGCTCTTGCCATTTCAGAGGTGAGACTTGGTGTTCACTCCATGTATCAGGGCAACTCAGTGCAACTGAAAAGAGGGAGTATTTACAGGAAGGGAGGAGCTAGATCTCACCCTGGGTCCGATAAGCTTTGCATCTCTGATGTCATGGGGTCTTGATATCCAATTAGCTAGGGAACTGGAAGCAGAGAAGATTCCAGACATTGGATTTCTCAGAAAACGAGCAGGGCAGAGGGCCACACGAGGGATGGGAACAACTCTAAAGCAGGGAGCCTGTCACCAGAAAGGCAATTCTTGAAAAAAAATAGAGATTTTTCCAGACTTACAGCAAAGGCTGCCAGGGAAAAATGTGATATAATGGAAGGAATGCTGGATTTGGAGTCCAGCAAGATCTTACTTGAAACCTTACCTCTGATCCACAGTAACTGTGTGACCATGAGCAAGGCACTCTATTTCTCTTTGCCTCAGTTTCTTCATCTACAGGTTTATTATGAGGATAAAAAGAGAGGACATTAATAAACCACTTTCTTTCTTTTCTTTTCTTTTCTTTTTTTTTTTGAGGCAATTGGGGTTAAGAGACTTGCCCAGGGTCCCAGTTAGTAAGTGTCTGAGGCTGGATTTGAAGTCAGGTTCTCCTTACTTCAGAGCTGGCGCTTTATCCACTACACCACCTATCTGCCCCTGTAAATCACTTCCTAAGGCTTAAGATGCTAAATAAATATTAGATGTTAGGAATAAGTAAATATTTGAAGGGTTTATAGATTTCATGTACGTCGGTCTTCAGTATCCCACCAGAATTTGTTTATGAGAGATTAGTTCAAGACAATTAACACAGGCAACTAGACAGTGCAACAGATGAGTGCTGGGTGTGAAGTCAGGAAAACTTGAGTTCAAATCCAGCCACAGACACTTACTAACTGTGTGAGCTTGGCCAAGTCACTTAATCTCTATTTGCCTCAGTTTCCTCAACATTAAATGGGGATAACAGTAGCACCTACCTCCCAGTGTTGTTGTGAGAATCAAATGATGGCATTTAGTACATTCCTGACACACAGTAGGTAATTAATAAATTTTTTTTTCCTTCCTTCTTAACAAGCCTTAACTTTTTCTTAATTTGTGCTAATTAAAAAAAATCTTCAATGCCTCCCTATGGTTTCTTGGATTAAATACAAACTCATTGATTAGTCATTTAAAGAAGCTAGGTGGCATAGGGGATAGACTATCGAAGTTGGAGTCAGGAAGACTTGAGTTCAAATCCTCTTTCTTTTTTTTTTTTAATTTTTAGGCGATTGGGGTTAAGTGACTTGCCAGGGTCACACAGCTAGTAAGTGTCAAGTGTTTGGTCTGAGGCCGGATTTGAACTCAGGTCCTCCTGACTTCAGGGCCGGTGCTCTATCCACTGTGCCACCTAGCTGCCCCCAAATTCTCTTTCAAACACTTACTTGTATGACACTCAGCAAGTCATCAGTTTCTTCACCAGTTGAAAATGAGGATAATAATAACACCAACTTCACAGGGCTGTTGTGAGGATTGAACAAGAAATTATATGTCAGATGCTTCGCAAACCTTAAAGCCTTGTATAAATGCTAGCTAGCTATAATGATTATTATTAAAGCTCTTCACAGCCTTGGTCTGACCTACATTTCTGAACTTGTTTCACTTTACTCCCTATCACATACTCTGTGTTCCTGCCAAACCAGCCCATCAGAGTCTCACAGTACTTGTCAGTCCAAAAGGAACCTCCAAGTCTTCCAGAAGATTGTTCCTCCATTCCTCAGAGGAGGCTTTCCTCCATGCCTGGAATTCTCACTCTGTTCATACCTAAGCCTTTTAGAATCCCTAGCTCGTCTCAAGGTTCATTTTAATTGCCACCTCCTATGGATACTTTTCCTTATTCCTCTAATTGTTAACACTCCCCTTGTTCCCCAAATAACTTTGTGCTTACTGATCTGAATTCATGTAGCATCCTCTCAATAGAATGAAAGGTCCTTGGTCACATGAACAGCAAGATGGCAGACTGGACATTTTCTCTGATCTCTACAACCCCCTCCAACTTCTGGAAAATAGATATGCAACAAAGATAATGCAACTTCAGCTGTCTCCATGGTCTAGGACACTGGGAATCCAAAAGAAAGTCAAAAAATGCAGAAAGCTATGAACTGAAGGTCACTGACCCTGAGCTCATTCAACATCCCTTCCCCACCTCTCTTGCTACTGCATTGGTAGACCTAAGAACCCAACACAGACTTACAATAAAACACATCTCCGCAGCCACCCCCCTCCCCTTCCACCCACCTTTCCAGTGTCTTGCAGACCTAGGTTCCAGGATGTAGAAGTTTTCTTAGTCTTCCATAATATTAGCATTGCAAAGGTAATTGTCTTCTAGTGCTGGGAGGACAATTCTGTAGCACCAGACAGTATTAATTCAGACAACACCATGGCACCAGTGAAGAGTCTTTCTGAACTGCTTATGGCAGGCCAGGGAACTAAGGAGCAAGGGACAGGGACAGGACACTAGAATAAGACACCTTGTATATAAAAAGGGGAGTGTTCAACACTCCACTAAGCCTGAGAGAAAAAGCATAGCATCCAGCTGGGGCCAGTTCCAATCACCCAGAAACCACTTGGGACCTAAGTTGATGAATAGTGAATTGTCAAGAACGGGATGAGGCTGAGATCCTTTGAGATCCAGTCCCCTCAGAAGGAACAGAGTCAGAAAATGAATAGGGGGAAATTGGAAAGGGGAAGGGGAGGAAGTCTGAAATTACCAAAGATCTCCGCAAGAAGAAAACTCGAAGACCTTGGACATAAGCAAATAAATCAGGGGAAATATTAGCAGCAGAAGGAAATATGGCCTCCAGATCTAGTCAACAAGTTCAGGCATGTATGAATAAACATTGCAAAACAAAGGAAAATGATCTCACACTCGATGAGACAGAGGACCCTGTGGAATGTGAGGAGGACATGGAACCACAGCTTGCTATTCCTTAGTGGTTTAATGGAGGAATGAAAATAATGAGAACAGAATCTATGGCCCACATAGCAAAAACAAAGAACAGAATAGAAAAACCAGAACCTGTGAAAGCAAATCTCACCAAAGAAATGAAAGAGAGAACAATAGACCAGGGATGCAAATATACAAAAGTGAAGGACAATTTAGAAGAAGAGAAACAAAAAACAATAGCATTAAAAGAAAATATGTTCACTGTATAAGCAAAACATACCGATCTTGAAGACAGGTTGTGTATAGAAAAGCTAAAGATCAGAAGTCTTCTACAAGAATACAACAGGACAAAAAACCATAATGCAGGAAATAACTACCTAGAACTTCTGACCACAGGAAATGAAGTACCAATCGAAAGAATACACATATCACCTCCAGAAAAAAAAAAAACAAGGCTGCATACATCAAGAAATTAAATGTTTAAATTTGACAATTCAAATCAGAAACAAGTTCTGCAAGACACTAGGAAACTTTCAAATACAAAGAAAAGAAAATTCAAATAATGCAAGACTATTCTGCACCCACCAGAAAACTTAAGAATGGAATAATGAGTTCTGAGGAGCAGCGGAGCTCAGAATGCAGTCCAGAGTGACTTACCTTGGAAGTCTGAGCTTAACCATACATGAAAACAGATGAGCTTTCAACAATGAAGAGGTGTTTGAAAAATTTTTTGCAAGAGATCCAAAACCAAAGAAATTATTTGCTCCTCAAATACCTCAAACAATAGAAATTCAAGAGGAGTGAATAAATGAAGCAACTAAGGACAACAATATTAATAGAGTGTTAGCAAGAGGCTAGTAAGAAACTTTCTAAATGTGTTCAAGAAAATAGGGAAGAAGGCAGAAGTCCAGTGGAGGTAATAATGAAGAGGCAGGCATGGCACATTATGGACAAAACCTGGTGACATCCTGCCTAAAAGTTGCTGGAGAAACTAGAGTTAAAAGACATGACATTTTCTGAGATAGCAAAAGAATATACATATTTCTCAGTACCACATGAAACTCTTAAAAAAACTGGCCATGTAATAGAGCACAGAGACATTGCCAATGAATATAGAAGGGCAGGAATAGTTAATGCATTCTTAATAGAACATAATACAATAAAAACAGTAATTGGTTCAGGCACCACAAACAAAAGATATAGACCCAATTAAAGACTTAACAATGAAATCCTAAATAACCAGGGGGTCAAAAAACAAATAATCATAGAGACAATAACTTATGTAAAAGAAAATGATAATGATAAAACAGCATACCATAATTTCTGTGATACAGCTAAGTCAGTCTTCAGGGGAAAATTTTTATCCTTATAAACACACATCAATAAAATATTTAAAAAGAGCATTAATGAACTGAATATGCATTTAAAGAGTTAGAAAGCCAACAAATAAGCCTAAAATAGGAATAAGAGAGAAAATATTTAAGATTACAAAGGAAATAGATGAATAGGAAACAAAAAATTCATAGAAATGCTAAATAAAACTAAAAGCTAGTTCTTTGAAAAGACTTACAAAATTGATAAACCCTTAGCTAATTAATTAAAAAGAAAATAGCAGAAATTCAAATCAATAACATAGCAACTGAGCAAAGTGAAAACACAGTGAAACCAGAAGAAATAAAAAAGAATCATTGAAACGTATTTTGTGCAGTTAAATGCTAACAAAACAGAGAACACAAAAGAAATAGGGGAATGTCTTCAAAAATATAAAAATAACCAAACTATCAGAAGACCAGATAGAGATCTTAAATAACCAATCTCCAAAAATGAAACAGATCCTGCTGTAAAGGAATTATCAAAGGGGGAAAAAAACCTTTTGGTACTAATGGATTCACAGGATAAATCTATTAAAATTTTAAAGAATAATTAGTACCCACACTTTACAAATTATTCTAAAAATTAAGAAAGTACATTACCAGTACCATTACTCTTTTATGAGACAAATATAGCCCTAATACCCAAACCAGGGAAAGATAAAAACACAGAAAGAAAACTATAGGCCTATGTGCTTAATGATCATCAACTCAAAAATTTTAAATAAAATCTTATCAAATATACTACAGAATTTATCCAAGAAATCATTCATTATTATCAAGTGGGAGTTATACCATGGATATAAGGATGGTTCAATATCAGGGAAACAATTAATATGATCATATTAAAAACCAAAACATTGCAAATCACTATCATCTTAATAGATGCACAAAAAGCCTTTGATAAAGTATAACATAGCACTCTATAAGGCACAGGCATAGAAGGACCTTTTTTAATACCATAAAAAATCTATCTAAAGCCAAAAGTAAGCATCATATGCAACAGGGATATGCTAGATCTTTTCTGATAAATTGAGAGTGAAACCATTTGGGTTATCTAAGGATCATTAGACCTCAAATCTTAGAACCTGAGAGATGGGACAGAGAAACTTAGACATGGTCTTCTTCAATCTTTTTATTTAATTGAGGAAGGTACTAAAGTTTAGGGGGTAAAATGATGCAAAGTTAGTTACTCGTCATTGTTTCAAACAAATAAACAAATGAATAAAATACCTCCATACCCATTGAATGAATGTCTGAAATTCCTAAATAGATTCTTTTAGATAAAATGGGAGAGATAGCACATTAAGCATTAGCAGTTATTCCCACTTTAGTGTGAACGAATCCCAGAGCTTTTCTTGAGTGAAGCATTTGGGAAGGGAGAGAGAATTTGAGGGCACTGGTCACCTAGGCATGTAGAGACATGCCATAGATGTGAGACAGTCTCAGAAAAAGGAAACACCAAAGCTTCACCTAATTTAAAGTTCTATCCTAGAATATAAACAGGTCAGATGGATAATAATTCATCTATACCTAAAAATTAACAGTGAAGATGTCTGAATTTGATTAGAGGCTTGCTCCTTGACCTTTGGTGATGTGAGTAATCTCCTTGCTTTTTATTTGTAGCTTGTGGAAAATTAGAATGTCTTCTGTCACAAATGCATTTTAAAGAATCATAAAGTATTTTAAAAAAACTTACAAACTTAGAAAGTAGATTGTTTACGAATTACTTTGTCTCTATGACCTTATCCAATGTGAGGATTCTCCCCTGTGATGCAAAACCAACCCTTTCATGCCTGTCTATCTGTGTGACACTGGTTCATTTCCTCCAATTAGTTTCCCATAGGGCAAATCAATCGAACAATGCCAATGAAATGCCATCACACAGCCAAAAATTTGTCTTGTGAAGTTTGGATTCAGTCAAAGGGCTGCACTTGAGGACCTAGAGGGCCAAAAGCGGCCTCTAGGCGGCAGATTTCCCACCCCTGGCTAACCTTAACCCTTGCTCTAGCCAGCTCAGGGGTTCTAAACCTGGGATTCACGAACTTGTTTTTAAAATATTTTGACAAGAGCATTTCAATGTAATTGGTTTCTTTTCTAATTCTATGTATTTAATTTCATGCATTTAAAAACATTTAAAAAGTTCATTAGAAGAGATCCAAAGACTTCCACCAGCATTCTCAGAGGTCCGTGACAAAAAAGGTTAAGAATTCCTGACCCTGACTTAAGCTTGTCTGTTTTTCTTTTAAGTCAGATTTGCTCCTACAGACAAATCGCACTGATCATGGTCTAGCAGTTACAGAAAACATAATGATTCTGCAGTTCTGGAGCAGAAGGAAAGGTTTCACTTTGAAAATTCTTGTAATTTGACTATTTAATTGTTGCTTGACCAATTAATCACGTAACAAGTGACATGCCAGGCAACGCTATCCCCCTCCACTTCCCCACCCTACCCTCTCCCATTTTTTACCACCACTCTATGATAATGGCCGAGATCCCAAAGTTTGACATAAAGCAGGGTCGCTTGCTTCCTGCTGTCTGAAGCTCTGTAGGAGGAGTAGAAGTGGCATTCTCAGCAGCTCTGTACAGGGACAGCAGCAGCATGTTGGGCTGGACAACCATTGCCGTGTCAGCTAATCAATGGTTTGTAATAAGATCTACTGAAAGGCTGGGGATTTTATAGGAACACTAAAGGAAGATTTGTAGCCTTACCCAACGGAAATAAAGGCTTTACTGAAAGCTAAAAATGCCGGTTAATGTAGCCAATGAGGTAGAGTTCTTTTTCAGCAAAGCCATACAGTTTTCATTCACCTGCCACCCCAGGACAACAAAACTCAGCATGCAGCCAATTGTGGAAAAAAAAAAAAACACAAAACCTAAGTCTCATTACTCTGAGTTATTTTGTTTGGGGAGGGGAGGAGGTACCTTGTCACTTATCCTTATACTGTCCTACCTTGCTCCTCTCCCCTACTCATCTCTACCTGTTCATACCCATCTAATTCTTCAAAGATCCTTATGTCATCTTCCCCATAAAGCCTTTCTTTACCACATTGCAGCACTGAAAATGACTTCTCCCTTATATTATCTCACAGTACCATAGGTGGTGCAATGGACAGAGTGTGGCCTTGGAATTCAGGAAGACCTGAGTTCAAGTTCTGATGCTGACACTTATTTGTTTTGGCCTACTATAAGTACTTAAGCCTCATTTTCCTTATCTGTAAAATGAAGAGAACAATGGCACCTAACTCATAGGGTTGTTATAAAGATAAACAGATGGCATATATAAAAGTGTTTTGCAAACCTTAGAGCTTTATATAAAAGCTATGATTATGGCACTTTATATAGACATATTATGCACTTATGGTAGTCTAATTTTGATAATAGTCACCTACATACAAGTGTAATCTCTCCCTACTCAATTGTAAACTTTTTTTGAGGACTGTATTTTAGTCATCTTTATATCTCAGCACCAACCACCAAACCAACCATTCCTGAGAAGATGAAGAAGAACTTATTTAATGAATTGACTTTTATAATACCCCAGAAAGAATTCCTAGAATTCTCAATAGAAAGCTTTGCCCTCTGGTCTCACTCTAGCCTAGACTACTCTCCTTCACTCCTCTAGTGCCTTTTTCCTCTAGATTGGCCTTGACCCTGACCTTCCCTGAACGCTGAGTGAAGAAGGAACCAGGAATCCCAGGGAGAGCTTGGGATGGTGATATCCCAAATCCTGAGAGCAGCCTTCTCCAAGATCATTGTGGGTTCTCAAAGCTTTCTATATTTTGAAGACCAGAATGCTCCCCATATTCTGACAAAATCCATGATTGTATTATTTCCTGTCAAATTTTGGATGAGTCAATCACAGCTCCAATGTAGAGGACAAGTTTCGTTTGTTTTTTTTTTCTATTTTGGAAGTGCCAGTCCTGACCCACTATAGGTTAATGTGTGGCCTTAGCTTTAGAGGTGTCAGATGATACCCAGTGCAGAGGTTCTCACACTTGGTGGTCTCAAGACATCTTTACACTCTTCAAAATTATTGAGGATTCCAAAGAGCTTTTGTTTATGTTGTGGAGCCAAGACTCAAACTTGGGGCTTCTGAATCCCAGTCTTGTATCCTCTCTACTATACTATACAATGCTGCCTCAGAAGGTGATATGGATATATATATATAATCACATATATAACATGTATGTGTATATATACACATATACATAATACATATATATGCACATGTACATGCACACATATTTGTATATATGTACACATACATGTATATGTATATATGCATATATACAACTATCTACACACACACACACACACACACACATACACGCACACATACACACACGTAGATTGATCAGGCTACCCTGATCAAATTAATGAGGTTATAGGGAAGTGAAAGATTATGGCACATATGTTTACTGATCCTCATTTATAAGATTGAAGACATTTTTTGGAGCGTATATCTTTTGGGGCTAAGTATTGTTGAATCCTTCACATCCAATTAGGACAGCATCAACTCCCTATCTTCCCCAACCCCCAAATACATACTAAGCCAGTGGGTTCTCGAAGTGTATAATGTGGACCCTCTAGACCTTTTCAGTGGTTCTGCAAGGTTGAAATGGTTTTCATAATAATATTGAGACATCATTTGCCCATTAAAAAATGCTCCATTTCCCAACTATATATCTGTGTGAGTCCAGATTTTCTTCATATACTTCAACTAAAACAACATATTGAAATCTACTGAATGCAGAAACAGATATGAGAATCCAGCTGTCTTCTATTAAGCCAGGCATTAAAGAGATTTACAAAAATGTGAAACAATGCCAGTATCCTTACTTTTTTGTTTTAGAAAATAGTTATTTTTCATTAAAAAATTGATTTATATTAAGATACAATGAGTTTACTATTATTTTAAATGATTTTAAATTCATTTTGAAAGAATTTATCAGTTTCCATTTCTAATACACTAAATATCAATAGATACAACCATGAACAACATATAAACAATGATTTTTGAGTACAAAGGGGTCCTGAGACCAAAAAGTTTCAGAACCACTATACTAGAATATTATTTGGCACCTCTAAAGCTAAGACAGCTTCTTGATCTGTACCATGGCCAAGACTAGTACTTCCAAAGTAGAAAAACTAATTTTCTACACTTGAACTGGAACTGACCCATCCATAATGTGATAGGAAAAGATAAAAGCTTGGATTTTTGTCAGAAAGCCTAGAGAATGATGGACTTCATGCTATGTCAAGAGTTGAGAGTCCATGAATGGTCTTGTGGGAAGCTATTCCTTGGACTTAGTACACCAGTATTCCAAGCTCTCCCTGGGCTCCTAGGCCCATCTTTACTCAGTGCTTCAGGGCAGATTGGGGATCAAGGCCAATTTGGATGTTTTTAGGGAGAGTAGTACAGTCCCATTTAGGTGGGCCTGACTGATTTCATACTTCTGAGGTCACAACCAGATAAGCATCAATCAGCCAGGAAACTCAAATTTCCAAGCATAGAATATCCAGTTAAGGGAGTACCAGAGAGGGTAAGAGTATCAGGCAGCAGGAGGAGGGACCTTGGCTAGGGAATATATAACTTACTGGACTAAGCAAGACTATCTGGAAAACCAAAAGGTTTTCTTAACTACCACATAAAGAAGTTCCATTGACCTATCAAGTGAGTGGCACTGATTAAATTTATTAGAATTTTGATTTTTTTCTTTTTTCAAGAACAGCTCTGTCATTCATATTCTCAGAACATTCATGATCTTCAATAAGGTGATGAACTCTTAATTTCACAGTACATTACTTTTGATGTTGCCTATGACATTGGGGGCCAGTGGTTGTATTCACAAGGACCATATGCTCTTTACAACCATTGATCCTAGTTGTTGGATCAATGTTCACACAAACTAATCTTCTAGGAAAGAGAAAACTGTTTGGCTTTGAGTACGCTTAACTTCACACGTTGTGAGGCTTAACTTAAAGTTTAAAGACAATTGGCGAAGGTTGCCAAACTCAGACTCTCCGTTGTTTATCTCATCTCTTCTGGTTAGGTTACCTTTTCAAAGATAATCTGGAGGATAAATATACTGGAGATAAAGGTAGAGGATTGACTCTTTTTGCCCAATTTGCCTGTATGAGGAAGCTAAACTATTCCTTTGGGCTGTATGAAAAAAATACCTTTGAGAAAGGGTAATAAAACCTGACAGACAACATCTAAATCAATATTCTTTTACTATGGAAGTGTTGAAAAAGCAAAGAGCTGTTTGCTTCAGGTTTGTCACTAAAATTAAATAAATTAGCTTAATGAATTCTAATAACTCATTTACATACATTGCTAATTTGATTTTAGGGGATATATGCTTAGAAATGACACCATGAAGGATGCAAGATTCAGAGTTTGACCTATTTTTCAAATTATGAGGTTGCAAAGTCTGCAATATTCTTAGTGTGTGTTATTTTCTTCTGAAATGAAATCATCAATACTGAGTTTTTTAGAACAAAGTTAACCCCATCCCCACTACTCATAAATCAGCAAGATCCCAGAAAATTTGAATATGCAGAACATAGAGGCATATAAACTTCAGGCTATCTTGTATGTCCCATTGGAACAATAATGGACTATATAAAAATTAGGAAGTTAAATGATATAAATAATAGTAATAATAACTCACACTATATAGCGCTTTAAGGTTTGCAAAGTGTCTTTACATACATTTGATCTTTACAACAATTTGATCTTTTCATCTACCTGGGAGGTAGGTATTTGTCCCCATTTCACAGATGAGAGAACTGAGGCTGAGAGAAGGGTAAGTGACTTATTCAACATCCTACAGCTAGTAAATGTATAGGACAGAATCCAAACCCAGGTCTTCCTGGCTCCAAGTTCAGCTCTCTATTCATTATGCCATGTACTTACAATATGCTCCATAGAATGATAGGGATAAGATGAATATTATTATTTATTTCATCCTCTCTTACACTCTCTATAGAAATGCTCATTCCTGACAGGAGACCAGCCAGTCTATTCGTGAAATTTTTTTTCCAGTGACAGAGAGCTTACTATCTTGTTCATTCTTGAAGAGCAATCATTATGAGGACATTCTTACTCTCACTGTATTGCATTTCCCTCTTCAACATGGAATATTAGAGGCAAAAAAAGTTCTTATATCATCAATTTATTCGACTTAGAGCTAGGAAGGATCATAAAGTTCATCTAAATCAACCCTATTGTGTTACAGATGGGGAAATTGAGACTAAAGAAGTTAAGTGACTTGTATAAGGTCACACAAGGTAGAAAGTGGCAGAGAAATGATTTGGACCCATGTCCTCTTTCTCGAAGTCCACTTCTTAGTCCACCACCCAATGCTGTCACCCAGATGACCTAGTATAGCTTCCATCTTTTACAGAAGAGGAAATTGAGTCACTTAATTTCCAACTGTACTCAAAATGCAGGGGTTTCCTGCAATGCTAGGGAGTGAAAAATTATTCAAAAGGATGAATTAGGCATCTTGAGAAGTGGCAATATAAAAACAATCTCAAATAT